GTCTGGAACTGGCCTCAGTGCGGCTGCGCAGTGAAGAGGCTCTGGAGGTTTTTTTTTTGGAGGCTCTGGAGCTGGTTGAAGGAGGGACCAGGGAGGGGTTCGGCTGATGACCTCAGATGTACCGGCCCACCGTAGACTGCTTTAAACGATGGACGTCCATCACAGTCGGTGCGTCCCACACAGTAAACCAGCAGAGTAAGAGAGCAAACCAGCAGATAAATAGAACAAACCAGTAGAGCAATAGAATCAACCAGCCGCCGTCACTAGTGTCTCGCAGCGTCCACTGTCGGGGAAATTTCCCGTGAATCTTAAATGGAGTGCCAAAGTTTTGTCTGCATGCCTCGGCGCAACACCTGTTTCAAACGCTCCGTTCGGCTGATTTTCACTTTATTCCCACACTCTGTCACAACAGACAGGCCAATTTGAACACACAGACCGTTTCGGCTTGTGCACGTCCGGTCAGCTCGCCGGCTACTTGCGTATGTGTGGTCCAGTTATCACGGTCGCCGCTGATGCTAGGTCGTTAACACAGCTAGCTAGCGCTGACGCCGCAGACCCTCGCTCGCTAGCTGTGTTCGCGGGCTAGCACTGAATGGAAACTGACATCTCTCACACTTGTGGAGAATTGTTTTGGAAGAAACTGTTGATAATCTAGATATACCGATTGCAGTTTCTTACACTTATACGTTGCCCATAGTTTAATTTTTCCGACTTTACACTTCAGTCTGTGGACACGGGATAGCCTGGTTATGTTTTTGCCTCGTCCTCAGCTGTCGCCAGGCTTCACCTGTGAATTCCGTTTGTTTTGATCATATTTTACTTTAATCTCTTTGTAATTCTCCCAATTAACGCTGTTGGTGGGGATTGTTTTTAAGAGCTCAGTTTGCTCTTTTCCTCACAATTCATGAGCAGCTTCTCATTGAGGTGTCCAAGGTGCAATATGTTGTTTTTCTGTTGAAACGGACCACAGCCATCTCTGTCTCTTGTATACCACTGGTTTATCTTTGGTCACCTATTTTTGATAATTGTGCCACATGCCTTGAGTGATAGATGATAGATGTTACCGAATGCTCGCTAGCTCGCTAGCTACGTTAGAAGCCGCTGCTGTCTCACCGTTTTTTTCCGTCGATGCTGTTGTCGAGAAGAGGATGAACAGAGGGACGAGGTGGAGGAGAAGCTGGGCCATGGCTGTGGGGTTCAGATACCACCGAGTCCCGGAGAAGGCACGACGACGGCGACACCGTCTGCTACTGCTAATGCTGCTGTTGCCGTCTGCTACTGCTAATGCTGCTAATGGTTGCTGATGCTGCTGTTGCCGCCCCCCACTGGTCCTGCTGCTGTTGCCGCCCCCCACTGGTCCTGCTGCTGTTGCCGCCCCCCACTGGTCCTGCTGCTG